GCAGATCTAGCCCAAATCAAATATCGTGAATCAATAGCAATTGCGCTCACTGTGGGTATGCAGACTCCGGAGGGGCAAATCCAGCCCAAGCGCTATAATAAGCCAATCATGGCATGAATCAATAAAACATGTTGCGACGTGCAGTCCGATCCCATAAATGTCATCACAAACAATCTCTCCAGTCTCTCAAGCTCATAACACTTATGCTAAGCAGCCCAAATCAATGATACGCGATGTGATAATGTATGATAACAGAGACTGAGATATGTATAAAATGATGAATGAGACTGAGTACATAACTGCAATTAAGCAAATAACTTAAACAACAAAGAATGACCATTGTGGGTCCCGATAGCACCAGCACATAGCCTAAACTTGATTTCTTACATAAATCACAGCTTAAGTGCTCTAACACATAGGGTACAGTAATAATATCCAAATAAGATAGCTACACAGTTCCACGGAATTTCCTGAATCACAATTGCTAACGGTGCACGCCCATGCGCCCGTCACCTAGCATGCGCGTCACCTCAACACCAATCACATAGCACGTAATTTCAGGGATCCATACCCTTAGAAGCAAGTTTAGAAGTGTTACTTACCTCAAACCGTACAAATCTCTACTCCAACAAGCCCTTACCTCGCGAAATGTCAACCCCCGGGCCCATGTCTCGAAATTTGATAAAAGTTACAAAATACGAACACCAATTCAAACACGAGTCCAACCATACCAAAATTACTCAAATCTGATACCAAAATCTCGCTCAAATCCCCAAAATTCGTCCTAAGAAGTTTTCTCCATTTTTCCCAAATTTTTCAACCCAAATCACTAAATAAATGATGAAATCAAAGATATATTCATGTAACTTAACCAAAACCAAGTAAAAATCACTTACCCCAATCACTCCCTTAAAAATATCCCCAAGAGTTGCCTTAATGCGAGCTCCCAAAATCAAATTGTGAAATAAACTCAAACCCTCGTTTTTGAGAATTAAATTCTGCCCCAATATCCCTCAATTGTGGTCGAGGAAAATGCTTCGCGATCGAGAAGCACAAACTAAGCTGCCTAAAAATTAACCCTACGCGATCGCCAAAATTTCCACGCGAATCACTGCCTCCTCAGACCTACGCGATCGCGACCCCCTTCACGCGATCGCGAAGAACAAAGCGCGTGACCATCTCCTGCCTCATTTCCACTTCGCGAGCGCGACTTAGCCCACACGTTCGCGATTCACTGACTGACCAACCTATGCGATCGCGGACTCTTGCTCGCGAACGCATAGAGTAAAAATCCCAACTGCCCAAACAAGCCTTCGCGATCGCGGACCTATCCACCCGATCGCAAAGAAGGAACCATACCTGTACACCAGAAAAACTTCAGCAATCTTCAAAGTCCCATTTCACTCTGTTACCCATCAGAAATCCACCCGAGGCCACCGGTACCCCAACCAAACATACCAACAAGTCCTAAAACATCATAAAAACCTAGTCGAGGTCTCAAATCACATCAAACAACATCAAAAACACAAATCGCACCCCAATTCAAGCCTAATGAACTTATGAACTCCTAACTTCTACATTTGATGTTGAAACCTATCAAATCAAGTCTGATTTATCATAAATTTTGCACACAAGTCATAAAATACACAACGGACCTATTCCAATTTCCGAAACCAAAATCCTAGCCCGGTAACTACAAAGTCAACTCTCGATCAAACTTCTCAATTTCCAAAACCTCTAATTTTTCATCTTTCGCCATTTTAAGCCAAATTCCACTACGAACCTCCAAAATCACTATCCAGACATACTCCTAAGTCCAAAATCACCCTACAGAGCTATCAGAACCATCAAAACTCCATTTCGGAGCCATTTACACATAAGTCAATATCCGGTCAATCTTTTTAACTTAATCTTCTAACCTTGAGACTAAGTGTTTCAACTCATTCCGAAACATCCCCACAACCGAACCAACTACCCCGAAAAGTCACGTAACAAAAATTAAGCATAAAATAAGCAGTAAATGGGAAAATGGGGCTACAATATTCAAAACGACCGGTCGGATCATTACACTCACTCTATTTCTAGTCCGTACAAGTATGAGGTTTTACATGAGCATAATCTTAACTCTAAATGGTATGAATACCCTTATTATGACTAGAATGAAAGTGAAGTGCGACAACCACCTGAAGAGGAGAATGGTAGTTTAGAATAGCTTTTGTATAGGTTCATGAATAGTGTTGAAGAAAGATTTATACAAAATAAGGAAGCCATTAAGAACCTAATAACGCAAGTGAGTCAAATAGTAAGTATACTTTCAGAAAGCTCATTGCATTATGATGGTGAATATATGGAGGAGATACCCTGTGAGAATGAGCTTACCCAAGAGGATGAGCATCCACAAAGAGAAGTTAATACTTTGCAAGAACACTCTGATTCAATTAAGAATCCTCCTTATATGGCTGCTCTATGAACCTGCAGGCGCCCTCTTCAGTAGTAACTTAGGGGCGCCCGTTATTTTGTCGACTCTTTCTTGATGTTCTTTCATTTGGTCTCTGAGCGTTTTGTTCTCATTCTCCATTTCTTCCATTCTCTTCATAACAATGGCGAGGACGCCGTCACCTGCACTGTCAGTAGCATTGTGAGTTATACATGGAGTTGGAGGGTCTGGTTGATCGCCATGTTCGTCTCCTCGCCGTACCGTGTGGGCTCTCGCGGTTTCTATGGTCTTGCATGGAGCTTGTTTGTTGAGCACACTTACTAATGTATCGGTCAACCACGCTTCGAGGAGCTTTTTCATGGCAAGTGGCATCCCTTCTTCTGTGGACGTGGAGGCCCCTTTTCCATTTAGTTTTGGTGTGCTACAATGGGAGGAGGCAACCTCTCGCACCTGGGGGATGCAGTGGGTGTCACATCATCGCCCAACGTCTCATAGCTCTTGCTTCAAAGAAAACTGACTCCTCCTACTCCTCCTTATTGATAGCATTTATGATGTTGTCGGGGATGTCACCCGTCACCTTAGTTCTGTCTCCTTGGTTACCTGCTATGGGAAATTCAATACGTGTATAGAAGGAGAAAAACTTTGTGGTTTGTTAGGTTAGCAAATCAAGTGAGTTGTAGATCTAATGGAAACTAAAAGATTATCTAAGAAGTCCCCACATGCAGCGTCAAACTGTTTGACCCAAAATTTAGATCTGGGATTAGACAATTGGATTTAATAAAATATAGTCAATCTTAGCCAATATTAATATCCAAAAGATATATTAACTGGTTTTATAATGAGATGATATCTATATCATCCAAGTAGCAATAAATATTGACAACACTAGCAATATTCAACGACTCAAAAAGGAGGGGATAGCATTAAATAATAATAAATAGCAACGAATGGTATTTAAGTAAATAAGAATATGTGAGTCACCCGTAAAGGGTTAGATCTATGAATATTCTTTCTGACAATGATGAATGATTGATGAGCCTTCGAATGTTTAGATTGTTCTTTGATCGAGTGAACAAGTTAGCAAGAATCTTAAGAAAAAGGTATATATTGTATGTTTACAATAAAGCCAGATTCTATAGAGAAAGTCAATGTGTTTTTTTACAAGTGAATATCTTATGTCCCCTATAATTATGTCTCTTTCTATTTATGGAGAACATATACATAAAAACTCTAATAGTACAGGCCCAGAGAATATCCACTAGAATATTCTGTTTAGTGTCTTATCCTAAAACTAACCGTTATTTCTCTGTCTACGATGAATGCTCGACCTCGACCATGATCTTCAATAACTCATCGACTCCGTCCTTCATCTCTTCAGGGACCACTTCAACCTTAGGCATGCCTTTGTCGCAGTCAAACCGGTGACACATAGCAGCCCATGAAGGCCATTTTAATGCTGATCAAAGATAATTTTTGGCTCATACAAGCTACTCATTACTCAATAGCAGTGATCTCCCAAGGCATAATATTACAAGACAAATAAATACTCTAAGAGGACGTTTGGTAGTGTGCATAAGAATAATGTTGAATAGGGTGTATTAGTAATGTTGTTATTAGTTATGCTGACATATTTCTTATTCATTGTTTGGTTTGATGTATTAAAGCATTGGACAATTTCTAAAAGAATTATTTGTTCAAAAAATACCCTCATAACTAGTTCATCACTTTATCTTTTTTAAAAAAACATATGTTGAGGAATGTTTTTTTTATGAAAAAGGTTTTAAAAAAATTATTTGATTTTCTACCTATATTGTAGTATAGAATTGAATACTTATTTATAAAAAAGGAAATATGCTAAGTATTATTTATCTACTAGGGATATAATTTTATTTCCCACTTTCTTTGATTATTAGGCAAATAAAGTTTGAATTAAGAAAATAAAAGTTGATTTGATTACAAGTGCTTTACATCAAACTTGCATTAATTTAATAGCATATTTTGATCAAGCATAAATTTTGAAGCGCAATTTTGTCTTTAACTAAGCTAATGCTTGCATTAAAAATCATTGCATTATTAATACTATGGTTTCCTATGCATTAAACTATGCATAGGATAATACCAAGTAGGGTGTATAACTAATGCATGGTTCAAAAAGTGTACCAAATAAGATATTGTTAATACACAAAGTTAATGCATGCATTATTTTGTCTAATGCATCCTACCAAACGACCCCTAACTTTTTTCTTTCTTTTGCATAAACAGTGTTGCTAGCTATAGTGAATACTCAAAAATTAAAGAATGCAATGTAATCACTAAAAATTATATACACCAAATTTAGTCGTAAATTAAACTCTAGGAGAAATAATCACAAACCATGAGTCAACTTTGTTTGTTTGTTTTTATCAAAAAAAATTTTCTAGTCCTCGGATTTTTTATACACCAAAATCGTTTGTTTCTCTCCCCTCTCAGAATCTCAATCTCTCTGTTAAATTGGTACACTGTCAATTTCAATTGCAATATATGCATGATAGATTAAAATAAATTGGACCAGCAATAATACACCTGTATATGAATTTCAAGAATGGATTAGAAAGAAATGAGAGTTAAACTTTGGCCTAATACAAAAAAATGGGTTACGAAATTTCAGATTTCTATCAGAGCCAGACCGAGTGTATTAACTATCAAAATTCACCCAGTCTCCACATATTAACATTTTCTCAGAGTACTGCTACAAGAATATTTACAGGAGTTCTGTATAGCCCTGTGATCACCTTCCATTTAAAACTCTGGGTTTCCTACCGTTTGATCGTTTTCTAGAGGGAATGATGCCATTAAAACCTTCATATTTCCTTTTCAATGAGCCATTACTTAAATCTCCACAATTTCTGTCAAACTTGACAATGTTTGTTACAATGGCATGAACCATGATCTCACTTTTAGGAACCATAATGACCTTTTTCTCAATAACTGCAGTCTGTCCACAGTTAGGATCGATGATGGTGCTTTCTCTTAGATTCTGTAATATAGAATCCTTATTATCCTTGAACACATGTGCTGAAATCTGCACGAGAGAATAAAACGTTATAGTCACCCCCCAGACAATCATCAATATTCTTCATAAACAAGAATAGTAGACCCGTCACAAAATATACATAGTAAAGACTAAAGGGTTAGGCCAGTTTCCATACCATTCCCAACCGTTATACCCTAAAAAAAGAGAGAACGATCTAATTGTTCTTTTACTGAAAAAGGGAAAGGGGAAGAACTGGACTGCAAGTATAGTATTTGTTGCCAATGTATATATCGAAATATTGTCCAATCGTGTTTCTCATACTTCTCCAGCTTCTAGTTTCACAACTTATTTTGATCAGTAATCAAAAAGATTTTCATTAACTACAACAGCCAAGCATTAAGATAGCGCTGGGCAATACAAATGTTCATCCCTTTACAACAATGGTCAGTTCTGAAGAAAATTTATTATTCAATTACTATATTGCACATGCTTTAGTGGTGTCTCAAAGAAAGTTGTGATTCTCAGAGAAATAAAGTAGAATAATTTTGATTCTAGACAAGTGGTGGCGGGGAACACAAAGCAGCTTCAGACACTGATTCCAATCAGATCACTAAATTGTTCTTGCAAAAGCCATGCAAAGATATGTATCATTAATCACGCCACAAATAAATCAAGTTATAAATCCGTTGGTCCAGTAACTAGGGGCCAAAGGCTAAAGCTAGACTGTTGGCTAAGCAGCCTTGGGGTAAAGTCAAGTGCCACCAAATTGTTGGTCTTTTCTAGTTGTACCGTTGTACCCATATCACGATTTGCAATTTAACCAATGATTTGCCTCCATCAAGGAGCATCGCTAGGTACACTCGAGTCTCGCCACTACAGGTGATCAAAGCCAGAGGTTCCAATTCAAAGAGATAAATTCACTCAGCAAAGGACCTCACAAGTCAAGAATGCCATTAAACATGAATCAAAGGGATATGCTGGTAGTAATCTAGTCTACTCTGCACAAAGGGATATGCTGGCATCAAGTCTGGAACTTTTCTTTTGGTTACAGAAACCAGCCTAGGAAATATCTTTAACACTTGGTGTACAAATAGTTTCTAGCCGCTCACCAAATTTACCAAGAGGCATACTGATTAGAGCAGAAAATCCTAGGGCATTGGCCAAGCCTAAGGGAAAATGGTATGCTATGGGTAAGGAATCAAAGGCGAGGAGCCAACCCCAGTTCTTTTTAGGAAGCAACCTCTCCCCTCCCCTGCGGGTTCACCCCTGAGTCTAATGCAGTGGGGCATAAAACAATGTCTAGAACACTGTGATTCTGCAGAAGATCTACACTCAACGTTTTGAAGTTAACGAGCATCAGTTATCATTCTTTCAGTTTTCACAGAGGAGAATGAACGGTAGCATGTAATTGGCTAGGCATGGTTTACCAATAATAAATTAATATAGAGGTCATAACAAAGTAGTCTTCCATTCATTTATCTCATACTCCCTCCGTTCCAATTTATGTGAACCTGTTTGACTGGGCACGGAATTTAAGAAAAAAATGAAGATTTTTGGAATTTGTGGTCCTAAACAAGTCAAAATGGGGCCCAGAGTATTTGTGTGGTTATAAAAGCTTCTCATTAAGGGTAGAGTTGTAAGTTTAACCTGAATTGTTACCAAATTTAGAAAGGGTTCATTCTTTTTGGAACGGACCAAAAAGGAAATAGGTTCACATAAACTGGAACAGAGGGAGTAAGCATTAAAACAGTGTGGCCAGAGGTTAACCAAAGCAAGGATGGTTGAATGAAGAAAATTGTGCAATGTCCTCTCACCTTAAAATCAACTGGAATCTTGATTTCAGCCGATGAACACTTGCAGCCATCACTGAAGTTCAATTTCAACTTAACGTTAAAAGGATTTGCATTCTTAACTGTCCGCCTGACAAGCAATAGGAGTTGAATAAGAGCGTTTCAAATCTGATAGAATTTATAATAGTGAACATATGAAATAAACCCTCACCAATAATTAAAAAGGAAAACCGTCATATGCCGCGGAAATAATTCAAAATTTTGATCAAGAAAATCAATGGTCAAGATTCCGCACTTTGTTATTTTTATTTTTATTTTTTCCTCATCAATAAATTTGACTTTAACATGCTAGTTTTTCATATCAACTCGGAATTTTCTTTTCTTTTTCCGTTTTTGCTTAGAAAACTCGGAAGCTGCTGAAATGATATTCATTCCATTTTATTATGTAAAAAAAAAGGACAGCCCGGTACACGAGGCATTCCGCGTTCACACAAGGTCCGGGGAAGGTCAGCACGCCAAGGGGTGTGATGTAGACAACTTACCCTAATGCAAGCATTAGTGACTGCTTCCACGGCTCGAACCCGTGACCTAGGTCACACGGAGACAACTTCACCGTTGCTCGATTTTTTTATGTGTTCAATTTATATTTCTTCATTTTTTTTCCTTTTGGTATGTTAGACCCTTTAGTAATGTGAAGTAAACAAGAGAGGAAAAAGCAATGATTGTTAGAATTATTCTTGGATGCGTTCTTGGCCGACAATGATAACATCTTTTTTTTTTTAAATCCCATAACTTCTGGAAAATGTCAGATCCAGATTGGTAGACAATCTAATTACATGTTCTATATGATATCATAACACCTCAAGTATACAATCTTGAATTACTAATACAAGAGCAAAATATTTTGACTTATTGGAGAAATTATGCCAAAAGAGCATGTATAACAGAGACATATCGAGGTTATCTTTCACACTGAATATTACAGCTTCAAGAATTATGAAACTACCTTTTTAGCTGAAGAGGTTGTTTATGCAGAACAGTTGCTTTCATATTTTGACATTCTGAAAAAGAAACCTACAAGTCCATTTCAAAAGCAGCAGAGATGTTATCATAGTAAACCCAGAAAGTTTAAGAGGGCTAAGGACTACTACTGATGACAATCATTAAGTGAAGGAGAAGAAAGACGAGACCTGTTTTTAAATGAATCCTGCAAATTAGACAAAGGACTATAAAACGAGCACTATAACAAACAACTTCCATTACTCACTGACAATTCAAAAAGGTCTAAGCTACTCACAATCCACTCAAAAAGTAACTGCTTCATTAAAGTGACAGAAGAAACTCAGAGGGAAGTTGAAGTAGTGTCAAGACTCTTTACAGTAGGACTATTTCACACTCTTTTTTGCTTAGCACATCCCTTCTCACATTTTTAGATCCCATTTATCATTGTCGTCTCTTGGTTCATAGGGTATCACAACAGATTCCTAAAGCCTTCGATCTGCATACCTCAAACAAGAGATGCACAGGATAAATGAACAGAGCTAGAGATCCTCCAAAGAGGCAAGATCTAACTAATGAATTCCGTGCTCTTTTAGGCAAAGGCTGCGAAAGGAAGGTCTAACTACTTCGATCTTACTGCAAGGGTACAGGGCCATTTCACCAAGTCTCAAAGTGATAGATCATCCAATTCTCAATCAAGTCTACATCATAAATCAAATATATCAAAGGAAAAACTCGTAATGGCTGTGGTCTATCGGTGGATAATGCTTGCTTCTACCACTGAATATGCCACCACAACTGCCACTGTTACTGCCTGTTATTAGTTTCCATGTTTTTTTTCTCTTTCTAGTTTGTTGTGTCTTGGAGGTTTCACAGCAACAGTGAGCCTCCAAAACTCTACCCTCTAGAAACAAATACATGCTTATTCAACATAATAAACAGAATCTGTGGCGCAGCTATTAACTCACCTCTACAGATTTGATAAAAGGCAATGGTGCCCTACTTCCATGGACACTTGCCACAGTAAGGGTCCAATTTACATATTTTTTATCTGCAAAATAAGTAAATCAGATAGATCAAAAGACATATTTAATGAATGACCTGCTCCAAAGAGGACTAATTAGAAATTTGATCAGACCTCTCTTCTATTTTCTATAGTACTATTTGTGGCCACGTCCAATATTATTTACCAGATATATTAACACGGCAAAAATAATAAGCTATATTTTTCACTTCATTTAAAGGAATTCCCTGACAAATTCTATGTTTCAAGTTGGAGGAACAAAAAATGGTAGCAATTTTTTGGCATCTTTCCCAAATATTCTACAAGAACTAAGGTATACACGTGCAATTCCTTTCTTCACTTTTTCACTTGTATCTGCAGAAGATGAAGAAGAATTGACCAAATTTTCGTAAATTGTAACTTGCTTTGTGCACATTCACACGCACCGATATTGCTTGCAAAATAAAAATCACAGTGCAAGTGAAAATGCACATTCACACGCACCGATATTGCTTGCAAAATAAAAATCACAGTGCAAGTGAAAATGTCTTTTCAGCTCTAGGACTTCAGAATGCTAAATGAACAAATGAAAAGAAGATAAGCACAAATCTAGGGAGTTACCAAGACTTAAGGCCTGAGTAAAAATGGTCTGGAGAAGATCAATTCTAATAAATGGTGGGATTCGCAGACTGAGGAATTCCACGACTCCTGCAATTACCTGTTCATAGCCATGTTAGTAAACATTTTGGAAACAGGATCAATCAAAACCATAAATCTTTTTCAGATAAATACTGCAGGGAAAAACATAAGTGAACATGTGAACAAAGCGCAACACCCTATTCTCCCAAACTTGAAACGAGGTAGACTAAAAGAACCAGTGTCATCATTCAGCTATTGATTCTGTAGAACCAAACCCAATATGTTAACTAAAGCTATCGAAAACATGATTCCTGGGAGTCATAAATGGTAGTGTGGTGGTTCAGACAAAACTATTTGTAAGTCACTTTAAGGACTGTTTTTTTTTTTTTTTTTTTTTTTGGGGGGGGGGGGGGGGGTTGCGATACCCCTAATTGTCCTGTATCATCCAAGCAGGATGAATGAAGATTGCTCAATAAGAACTTGCCAAAAGAATCAATGTTCACTTTTGGCTAGCGAGCGGTTTAGCACCTGCTAAGTCAAGTAGCCAGATGAAGGTAGAAAATCCCATTTAGTAATTCTACATGTGAAAGCTTACCAAGCAATAGTCATATTTCCAATTAAAAAACTATCATATTTCCAATTAAAAAACTATGTACCACAATAACTGTCAGCGGCATTGTAGCTCCGAGGGGATACAATCATACAACAACACAAATATGATACCTTGTCTACAAGGCCATGAATCAGCATGGTTGCTTTCTTGTCCTTGGGAGTTTTCTGCAAAAAAAAAATGGAAGAGGGAAATAAGATAAAGGCCACAGATGAGCTCCTATTAATCCAGCATCGTTTTCCATAGATTGATTGGTAGAGAGTATTTTCAAGTACAGTCATTGACAGGATACCGTAATATATGAGCTAGAGATATTCACCTAATCTTCTATAACATTTTGGTTATGGAACTTTTAAAGCTTTTCTTTCTTATTCCCTCAGAGACCCTCTTATATTTGACCTAGTAGAAAATTCAAGCTTAAGCATCTAAAGAACCTGAAATCCTTGATCTTTTTTCTTTGTGGCTCTGATAAGCAAGTCCTGAATACTTTATCATGGCAAAGTACAGCAGACTAAGCTAGGAGCCCCATATGTGCATTGTAAGGAAAATGATTGCTTTACCTATATGATTCAGTGATTGAGGAAGAAACAACTGCATTTATTTGAGGACAGAAAGTAACATTTGCTGGTTTTGGTTAAAACGTGGCAGTACAGAAAGATCGAAAAGTCAAGCTGACAGTTCGTAAGTAACACCTCCTTCTCCTTCATGTTGGCTCATGTTCAATTCTTGTGGAACCATTATTATTGCTGTTTAGTCAAGTCTTGCATTTTTGGATCCCCACATCTTGGATTGTGAAAATTAAACCTTAGTGGCCTTCATAAAGATATTTCCTGAACATGAGGTGAAATAAAAGGCTTACACTCTAAAAACAGTTGCAAACTGTTCTTTGATGCAGGAAAGTGATTTGGCAAACTTATTTACAGGCCACTAGTAAAAGATCTGACATCTCTATGGCTGTTGTCTGTTCTTTTTTTTTTCTTTTTCCTGGGGGCGGAAATGGGAATATGAGGCTCTCTGGTGCATGTTCTGTCATCACAACTAGGTCGATGTGCGATAATTGTTCACTGATGTTACATTTGGGACAAGGAATAATGTACCTGAAGATTAACTATTACAATCTTTCCACCACCTTTGAGTGATTTTAGAGGCAAATTACAGGCAGGGGTGATCTGCAAACTGCAAGAGTAAAACAAGTCATGTTCACTTCTGACATGACATGATTAAGCCCGAAGAATGATGGAAGTAAATGGTTTAACAGTTGAGCGTCGACAAACACTGTAAGAAATCATTATTTTAGCATCATGCATCAGAATTCAAGATTATGGAGGCAGTCAAATAGATAATTTAGCATTACCTTGTTCCTAGACATAGCACAACATCAGCCATTTTGCAGTGCCTCTCAGCTGGATTCATTTCCTTTGGAGGTAGAGCATCCTGAGGACAAAAACACGGGAGGGGACAGGATGAGGTCAACAACAGAGTCATAGGTGGAGTCATCTTTTGGCCATAACGATCTTGGCGCTTTGGCCCAAATAGCAGGAAAAAAGTAAATCCTCAAAACTTTTACAACTTTTTGACTTAATCATTGGATGCTCATGAGGCTACAACCAGTCAAACTTCTGGTTATGCAATGTTGACTACAAGTTACTGAGAATCCATAAAAACTATAAATTCTATTTCGTATTAATCCTTTTTACAAATTAGATGTGCATCAAAATACTATTGTGAGAAAGCACAGAAGAAATTATATTATTGATGTATTAACATATGTTACAATGAGCCCTATATATATACACACATAACATGTCCTACTCCTAATATATATTGGATTAGGGTTATTTATTTACTCCTATTTACATGACTATTCTAACACTCCCCCTCAAGCTGGTGCATATAAATCATATGTACCGAGCTTGTTACATATGTAGTTAATACGAGGACCAGTGAGGGACTTGGTGAAAATATCTGCAAGCTGATCATTCGACTTCACAAACTTTGTAGCAATATCTCCCGAGAGTATCTTTTCTCTAACAAAGTGACAGTCAATCTCAATGTGTTTAGTTCTCTCATGGAACACTGGATTTGACGCAATATGAAGAGCAGCTTGATTATCACACACAAGTCTCATCTGACTAATCTCACCAAATTTCAACTCCTTGAGCAACTGTTTGATCCAAATTAGCTCACATGTCGCCATAGCCATCGCTCGATATTCTGCTTCTGCACTAGACCGAGCAACCACATTCTGTTTCTTGCTCTTCCAGGACACCAAATTTCCTCCTACCAAGACACAATATCCAGACGTAGAACGTCTATCAGAAGGTGATCCTGCCCAATCAGTATCTGAGTATCCAACGATCTGCTCATGGCCTCGACCCTCAAACAATAAACCTTTGCCTGGAGCTGATTTTATATACCGAAGAATGCGAACAACTGCATCCCAATGACTATCACACGGAGAATCCATAAACTGACTCACAACACTCACAGAAAAGGAAATGTCAGGTCTTGTCACTGTAAGGTAATTTAATTTACCAACCAACCGTCTATATCTTGCAGGATCGCTAAGAGGCTCCCCCTGTCCTGGCATAAGTTTAGAATTCGGATCCATCGGAGTGTCAACCGGTCTACAACCTGTCATTCCTGTCTCTTCAAGAATATCTAAGGCATACTTTCGTTGTGAGATCACAACACCTGAGCTAGACTGAGCGACCTCAATACCCAGAAAATACTTTAGTTTGCCCAGATCCTTAGTCTGAAAGTGTTGCAAGAGATGTTGCTTCAATTTAGTAATACCATCCTGGTCATTGCCGGTAATACAATGTCGTCAACATAGACCACCAGATAAATACAGAGACTCGAGGCAGAATGCCGATAGAATACAGAGTGATCAGCTTCACTCTGAATCATGCCAAATTCTCGAATAACTGTGCTGAACTTACCAAACCAGGCTCGAGGAGACTGCTTTAGACCATAAAGTGACCGACGCAAGCGACATACAAGGCCACGAGACTCCCCCTGAGCAACAAACCCAGGTGGTTGCTCCATATAAACTTCATCCTCAAGGTCACCGTGTAAAAAAGCATTCTTAATGTCTAGCTGATAGAGGGGCCAATGGCGAACAGTAGCCATGGATAGAAAAAGGCGGACTGATGCTATCTTAGCCACAGGAGAGAAGGTATCACTGTAATCGAGCCCAAATATCTGAGTATATCCTTTGGCAACAAGACGAGCCTTAAGACGATCAACCTTACCATCCGGACCAACCTTGACTGCATACACCCAACGACAACCAACAGTAGATTTACCTGAAGGAAGAGGGACGAGCTCCCAAGTACCACTCGTATGTAAAGCAGACATCTCGTCAATCATAGCCTGTCGCCATCCTGGATGAGACAATGCTTCACCTGTAGACTTAGGGATGGAAACAGAGGACAAAGAAGATAGAAAAGCATAATAGGGTGATGACAAACGATGATAACTCAAACCGACATAATGGGGATTAGGATTAAGGGTGGCCCGTATACCTTTCCGAAGTGCAATCGGTTGATTAAGAGGAGACAAGTCCGCAGTATTAGCAGGGTCAGGTGCAGGACGTGAATCAGCTGGACCTGATGCTGGGCGCGGACGACGATGATATGTCAAAAGTGGTGTTCCTGTGGCAGTAGACTCCTCAACGGTTGGAATGGATAAGACTTCTATAGCGGAAGGTGAAGGAGGAGCTATAGGAGACTCGGGTAAGACTTCTGTGGCGGAAGGTGAAGGAGGAGCTATAGTAGACTCCTTAAAGGTCGGTATAGGTAAGACCTCAGATATATCAAGGGGGTCAGAAAGGTCAGAAGAGGTAAAGAAAGGTTTAGACTCAAAAAATGTGACGTCAGAGGACATAAAGTACCTACGAAGATCAAGTGAGTAACAACGATATCCCTTCTGAACACGAGAATAACCAAGGAAGACACACTTGAGAGCACGAGGAGCTAACTTATCTTTCCCAGGGGCTAGGTTATGAACGAAACAAGTGCTCCCAAAAACACGAGGGGGAACAGAGTATACGGGTGATTGGGGAAACAATACTGCATACGGTATCTGATTCTGGATGGGAGAGGAAGGCATCCGATTAACTAAATAACAAGCTGTGAGAACTGCATCGCCCCAAAAACGCAGCGGAACATGAGATTCAATGAGAAGTGTGCGAGCAGTCTCAATGATGTGCCTATTCTTTCTCTCTGCAACCCCATTTTGCTGAGGGGTATAAGGACAAGAGGTCTGATGAATAATTCCTTGAGAAGTCATAAACTGCTGAAATTGAGAGGATAAATATTCTAAGGCATTATCACTGCGAAAAGTGCGAATGGAAACACCAAATTGATTTTTAATTTCAGCACAAAAATTCTGGAATATAGAAAACAACTCAGAACGATCTTTCATTAAGAAAATCCAAGTACATCTTGAATGATCATCAATAAAACTAACAAAATAACGAAATCCCAAGGTTGAACTGACTCTACTAGGACCCCATATATCAGAGTGAACTAAAGAAAAAATAGACTCTGCGTGACTCTCAATACTACGAGGATAGGAGGCTCGGGTATGTTTCCCGAGCTGACATGACTCACACTCTAATGTGGATAAACTAGACAAACCAGGCACCATCTTCTGAAGCTTGGATAAGCTTGGATGTCCTAAACGTTTGTGAATTAGGTCCGGAGGATCTGTAACTAGACATGCCTTGGAGGATTTTAGGGAGTTAAGGTAGTAAAGCCCTTCTGATTCAAGTCCTGTTCCAATCGTCTGCCCTGTACTGCGGTCCTGCATAATAAAAGAATCATCAATAAAATATATACCACAATGGAGGGCACGAGTCAAACGACTAACAGATGCAAGATTAAAAGGACAGCCAGGGACATAGAGAACGGAATCTAGAGTGACAGAGGGTAGGGGATTCGCTTGTCCAACTCCTTTTGCTTTGGTTTGAGACCCATTGGCTAAAGTAACAGTGGGAAGAGACTGTGAATACGCAATATTTGACAAAAGTGATTTATTACCAGAGATATGATCAGAAGCGGCTGAGTCCACAACCCATTGTCCAGGAGGACTAGACTGGGAAACACAAGCAAAAGAATTACCAGCAACAGAAGTATTAGTCTGAGCAACAGAAGCTACTTGTGGAGATGTCTGCTTACTTGCTCGATACTGAAGGAACTCATTATACTCCCCTTCAGATAAAGAAAATCCCTGGTTACCTGTAGTCTCAGTCTGAGCAACATAAGCATTTTTGGTTGGGCGGCCATGTAAAGAATAGCATACATCACGAGTGTGTCCAAGTTTATGACAATAGGAGCACTTGGGTCTAGATCTTCCAAAACGACCTCCTCCTCGTCTATTCTCCATAGTATGAGATGCCCGATTGTCCACTGATTGGGATACGAGGACAGATGAGTCAAGTGTCTGTGATGAGCTCACTGGGTGACTAGGTGCTGCAGCAAGGCGAAGTAATCGAGAGAATAATTCATCAACTGTGGGGACGGTTGGACTAGCCAAAATCTGGTCACGTACTGAATCAAGGTCATTAGGGAGTCCAGCGAGTGTAAGAACTAGAAACATCTTCTGTCGTTGCTCTTGTTGTTTTTCAATACTAGCAGAAACTGGCATCAACGTCTCAAATTCTTCCATGACTGCCTGAACTTGTCCCAAGTAAGTAGACATATCTAATTCCTGTTTCTTCAAGCTTGTCATTCGCGATATTACATCATAGAAACGAGATATGTCATTAGTGTATAGATTACGAGCCTTTTCCCAAACTAAATAACATGTCTGGAATGGACGGAACAAGGGCATCAACTTGGAATCAATAGATCGCCACAGGATACTACATAACTGAGCATCGACCTTCTCCCACTGTGTTTTGGCCTTTTCATCACCTTCGCTAGCCTTTTTTGTTAAATGATCTTGAACTCCTTGACCTTTACACCACAACTCGACAGATGAAGCCCAATCTAAGTAGTTTGAACCTCCCATTAAAGGTTCTGAGGTAATCATAACACCGGAACTGCCAGAACCCGGGTTTCTAGACCCGAAAGCATCGACTCCCAAAGACATGGTTGGATTATCACCAAATAACAAAAAGAATCAACTGAAAATTCTCTGAAACAGATGAAGAAAACACTGTGTTTGCCGGAAAAGTACTGTAGCTGCCGGAAAAATCAGTGTAGTCGCCGGAAAAACTCAAAGTGGTCGGAATCAAACGAAAACAGGATGGGTAGGGTCGGAATTGCTGTGCGACCAGGCTGTCCTGAAGAAGCTCGGCCAAAAAATGGCCGGAAGAGGCCTCATGCGCCGGCGCGTGACGACGGAGACTCGCCGGAAAATATTTTCCGGCGGCGCGTGAGGGCGCGTGGGAGAGGTTCTGCCGGAGAAATTTTTGTGGTTTGGTCGCCGGAAGCTGATCTATCTCATGGTGGTGTTGGTTTTTGCACAACACCGACGGATATTGAATTTTTCTTGCGGACAGTGCTGTTTTGCCGGAAAAAAAGGTTTTTTTTTTTCTTCCCGGAGTCGCTGGAATTTATGCACAGCGATAAATATCTCACGATAGCTCTGATACCATGTGAGAAAGCACAGGAGAAATTATATTATTGATGTATTAACATATGTTACAATGAGTCCTATATATATACACACATAACATGTCCTACTCCTAATATATATTGGATTAGGGTTATTTATTTACTCCTATTTACATGACTATTCTAACAGCTATCACAGAACTTACATTTAGAATCAGTAACACAAGATCGAGCATGCATAATATCCTTCACAGGGATGTTGGCACTTCTTCTTTTTTTTCTTTGAAGTAGTGAGGTAATCTAGTTGAAGTTCAGATACAGTGAAAAATACCAAAGCCATCAATACATTTAGTTAGGTAGGGATTGATTTTCATTAGGAAAAATGGACTAATGTCGTCATATTTCTGCTTATAGAAGACCATATCTTTACGGTCACTATTAAAGGGCAGTGGAATGTCACTGTACAACTACAAAGAGAAACTCAGATCCTAGGACTTTGTCATTAAACACATTGCTGTTTGTCATTACCTCCCAGTCAAGAACTGTGTCTCTAAGTCTGGCACCACAGCCCACCTTGGAACAATGTCGTGCAGTTTCCTTCAACCCAATAGTTTCTATTTCAAAATCCCTCATATACCTTCATGGGTCAATTCATAAAATAGACTCATATAAGCAATCACCATATCGTTACGAAGAAGCAATAGAGCAGCATACATAAAATAAAACAAAAAATGAACGGCTATACATGAGTGTGAATATACCAAAAGGCTCCAAAAGAGTCACGTGAACTGTGGGAACATGCATAATAGCAGGATAGTACAACAACAACAACATCAGCAACAACAAATCCAGTGTGATCCCACAAGTGGGGTCTGGTGAGGGTAGTGTGTATGCAGCCTTACCCCTACCTTGTGAATTCGTAGAGAGACTGTTTCCGAAAAAGCAGGATATTGTGCTGCAGAAAAAGATGAAGTCTTACTCAATTCCACAAGAAGGGCATAGTTCCATAAAAGAATCCCCATGTAATTCTGCAAGCTTCTCCCTTGGAATTCCAGATCGAAGATGGAGGCCATCAATGTTCTACCATTTTCAAATAAGTATGATGTGACACTTGAATATTATACCAAGGAAAATAAATCTGAACTTTTTTGGAAGTAGACAGTTGAAACTACATAATTGGAATCTGAGGCTTATATTTTAAGTAGAATAAACATACCTTGGTCAAGTGAAATGTCATATTTTAAACACAAATAACTAGGCTCTCTCTCTCTCTCTCTGATTGGTTGAACTAAGTTTGTTGGGCTGAGGGGGAAATGGAAAAAGTTTGGAAGGAGTAATGGAATGCATCTACAGCACTAGCCATAAAGTACACCCAACAATTTTGATTAAATTGGAATTAAGATGTCTTCGTTCTGTTGCTTCTGTTTGGCCAACAGTAAAGACACTCAGAACAGCGCAAAACATAAATGAAGACATCAATTTATCAATTTCACCAATTCCAAACTAGTTAAGGTTGGCTATATGAATCCTCTATATCCCCCACCGTATTCAGGCTCATTTCAGTCAAATCTTGGGAGCAGAGAACGAAATTACTCTGCACGAAATGCTAACTGGATCGTGGGTGCGTGCCTGCGTGGGTAGGGGGAGAGTGGGCACATATCATATGCAACCTTCCCCTAAGACTCCTGCAGAGAGGTTGTTTCCCCTCCTCGAGTCCATGACCTACAGGTCACCAAAGGAGCAACTCCATCGTTGCGCAAAGGCTCATTCTCACAAGTCATGAAAATGAAGAGTCTGAATTGTATGCTAAAAGCACACAAATGCATAGCAAAAGAGCTCTATCATCATTATATAGTTTAAATGATGAAGCTTTTTTATATTAGTAACTGGTGATGAAGTTTAAACAAGATCCATTTTTTTTCATTTTCTTCGAGTAAAGTGCAGCATATAAGCATTTGTGATTCTCATAACTTGCAAAACATAGGTTACAATTTGAAAGGATAACAAAATGCAAACAATGAGACTACTCATGAAGCATATATTTCAATGAACAAATTCTGCAACGACTCCCGCAATCACAAATAAGCCAACTTCATTTCATTCAGAATAAAATGTCCAGATTCACTTCCCTCCACCTTATTCTAGAATTAATGTTGTAACTTTGATTAATTTCATCAAATTAAATTGTTTCAATTCTAGTTGAGTCGTTGACCAATTGCATCAAATTAAGGAAAATAGAGGCTGGTTTGGTTAAATAGATCTCTCTCTTCTTCTTTTTTAAAAGTTGGTGATAAATGCTTTTTCCAAGGAACACTGCTATAAACGATCGATGCAGCATTTATGGATTAGATTCGTCCCTATCGATGCTCAATCTTCCATTCACTGGAATGTCCCTTCTTTGCACTAACCACGGAAATTGGCATGCTAATACAGAGGATCCCTAATGACCAGATGTACCGCAAGTAAAACACAAAGCATGTTTGAATCCAGACAGCAAAGATATATCTACACCAAAAGATTATCACCAGAGCCAATCGACAAATAAATATAGATGAGAATAAGGGGCAACCCACGCTGTCAATTCTCCATGAGCAGTGGATACCAAAGAAAATAAGGCTAGAAACACTTGAAAGGGTCCCAAAGTAAAAGAAATAGAACAGTCATCTCAGTCAAAGCATTCAGAGGTGGAACGACAACCGTGTAGGTGTTGATTTAGTTGCTGGTTAATGATTATATCACTATGGATTAGTTGAAGTTGGCTAAAAGAAGAGTTAACCATGCATACGGTCAAATGGTGCTATGAAAATGGGTAAAAGGATCTAAATTGAACTCAATGATTAAGTCTTCAGTCTCACCAGCATCCAACTTTAATATATTGGTAGACCATGGTTCATCTATTTAGAAAAGTAAGCTCAAAAGGCCTTTAATTATGCAAATCACAAGTTTAGTAGCTTACCTGAATTAGCATGGTCTTCCTAGTAACATATTACAATTAGTGACCGGAACCAGAGCCAAATAAACTCAGTAACAGTATCAGAACCATAGTAAAGGTTGTTTTATTTATTTCATACAGCTAGCGTATGATACTCTTTCAAGGCAATGTATGTCAAAATTGATGGGTTTATTCAATTGAAAGCCTAGCTATCGGTTAACGTGGCACAAAGAGAGAGGTATCTTTGGGCATAGACACCAAGCAAGAAGAGTGAGCATAGAGCAGCTTATCTCCTACTTTAACGGAGAGGAACTCCATAGGAAATTGGAAGAGGCAGAACAGGAATTTCTCCCAGGAATGTAAATGGACAATTAAATGACTAATCACAAAAAAGAAAAACTTGAATGCGGTCGGGTTGAAATTGTGATTTCATTCTGATAGCAGCACTAGCTACACACATGGTGGAAGTGATATAACTAATAAACCTACAAATGTTAAGTGCACCCATATAGTAAGAAAATTAATAATGCCACACCTGGCTTATAATAAACTTTAGAAAACCCGCCTTCTCTAGTTCAACTAGGGCCATGTGTGTCATGCTCGGTGTTGCACGGTGAAATGGCAAAGATGCTTCTGGTAGCGCTTTCCCTTCTCTCTACAAGTCAGTTCAAAAAAAGGGATAAGAAGATACATTATAGCCAGTTATTCTTTTGCACAGTGTTATTATAGAATTCTAATTCGTGTTAAAAGTTTTCAATGCTATATACAGATATTCACATCATAACCAGTGGATTGATCCTGATCACATTACTGCAATGTTGCCTATTAAATACTCCAAATAATAGGAGTGATCTTTACATGTCTCAAGGAACAATAATAATACAAATGTTTGAGCACTCAAGAGTGTGCCTAACTATCAATGAAGTGGGTGAAAACCTAGGAAACCAGGGTTTAAATCTCAACAAAGGCAAAAAACGATAGATGATGTATTCTCGTCTCCTAAGCCTTGACGGGCAGAGTTACCCGATACTTGTGCTAGCGGGAGATAGCAGGTACCTATAAAATAGTCGAGGTGCACGCAAACTGAACTAGACACTGCCGTTATACCCAAGAAAAAATATAATGCTTGTGCTCTCTCCTTATGCAAGTATAAACTGTAGGTCTTTTTCAACTTCTTCCTACTTAGTGAAGAAGATTACTAGTCAAAACAATATCAGAATGAAATAAGAGATCTAGACACTATACACAAACAACACCACATATATTGAGATATTATTTTCTCTTTCAATTGTGGTAGGTATCATGCATGCCGGTATATTTAAATAACTCTCAAAGGAGAAAACAGCTCCCCCAATCGTAAGATAGATCATGCTTTCAAGGCCACTTTCATTTATTCATGTCACTATTATGCACGTTGCTCCTCCACTTATTTATAGCTTTTCTAGATCAAATTACACAAAAATCAAGTTCTGCACCACCTTCAGGTGATCGAGACATCCTCTCGGTTTGCTACATCTAGCCTAAAAAGATGACAATGCAGGTAGAAAGAAGGATCAGAGATGATGACCGACCAAATTCGAAGGGGAAGCATTCAATTCTGAAGTCTTAACATTTTAACATGGGTATCAAAGGTAGAAACATGTCAAGAATCGTGCTTTCAGAAACAGGGGTTTGCAGTTCACTGCAGTTCACTGATATATATATGATATTACCTGAAGAGTCCAAATACCCTTGGGACCACGAAAATCAGGTATACCACAAGAAGTGGATATCCCTGCTCCTGTAAACACAACTAAATGCTTACTCTGTAAAAGAAACAAGAGTCAGAACGGGTTACATCTAAAGGAAAAAGCTATACATAGCATAGCTAGGACGACATCTCTTTAAGGACTCACCTTTTGTATCATCACAGCAAGTCTCTCAATCTGCATAGTTATTTAAAAAAAATTAGTAAGAACACAGAAAAATAAAGTGCTTCATCCTTTTTAACTGTTCTTTAACAAGCAGCTGAAAGAAACAGAAGATCCTCAAGCACCAGAAAGTACTGATTATCAAGAAAATCAGTACAGTATAATGGATGGAAATTACATCCAGAATCGAAATATTCAGCAATCAAAATCTACTTTTCGTTCTTTCCTTTATTATTACCAATAATTTTACACTTTAACGTGAGAACAACAAGATAATGTATTTATGTCCAAGAATTCTAACAAAGACAAAGCAACACCACGGCATGACAATAGGAAATGGTAACAATGACATAGTACGCAGTTAAGGACAATTGCTATACATCTGCCAAAAAATTTAAGTTCATTTCTGTTGCCTAGATCACAATAACGAAAAGTTGGAAAGCATATCTTCCACAGCAGTGGGAACTTCAAAATTCCAAATGCCATTCCTAATGAACAACCATAAGTTAGGCGTACTATCCAGGTGCTCTTAGAAGTGGTGGAAGCAGAAAGCGGATACAAAAAAAAAATACTATAATGCCACATTTGAGATTAAAACTTATGACCTAAAGCAACTTTTTGAACCCCCTTTACCTCTACGCAAGAATATTTTCTTATATCAAGGGGATTCAACAGTTTATATAACCAAAGAAAGTCGTCTTTCCCTATGTCAAAGTATAAATAAAGGGGATTCAACTGAACCCCCTTAGCTAAACCTAGCTCCGCCCCTGAGTCTCTTAGATTGTTATATATTATTTGATATCTTCATTCCTTCTTCTCTTCTTTCAATATAGTCCATTTTTTCTCCCAACAAATACTATAGAAGACGTAAGCAGCATACGATTTGAAATGCTGCTTATCATTTTCTTACTTTAGTCAGTTTTACCAGAAGGTTTCTGGCTAATGTTAGCAATAGATTCAGCAACTGATTACCAAATGCTAATCCATTTTTATCAATAATTAACTTATGCTAAACCTTAAGAACTTAACATAGCAGAAAGTAGCAAAAGGAACAATGATCGCGACATTAAATGCATAAACTCACAGGGTACAATCCTAAACATGCTTAACATTTTGCTCGTGGCCAACACAATGCAATCATTATACACCCCTTAAAATGGAACAATCACTAATAAGATTAAGGAAATTGTTATTATCTCACGCTCAGTAATGTGGGGATTAAATCAAGATCTCATGAAAAACCTAAATGCAAACTATCAAGCCATCAAAGAAGACCCCAGTTTCTAAACTTCAATTCTTAATTAAGGACAAAAACCTAAACAAATATTTATGGGTAATTGCAGCCAGATAAAATGATCAAACAATTAAAAGTAAATAATAATAATAATAAGTAACAAAAAGAGTTGCAGAGAAAAAAATATCTCACTTTGTCTTGCAAAACGTGAGGTGGGTCGAAATATTCAGTCATTCCAACATTGCCCACATCTTCTATAAATGAGAGTTTCTGAGCATAACCTAAAGACATGTTTGTATTTGCTACAATCTGTTCTTTTTCCTTTTATCCCTAGGAAAAGAGTACTACTAGTTTGATTGATCACTGAAGAATGGAAGCAGAGGAATACAAGAGGAGCCTTTCTGTTGTAGTAAAGATGGTCTAAGTGCTTACTTTTTTGCAACCTTGTTCCTTTATGCTCATTTATTCCGTTTCTGTTTATTTAATTTATAATGTTTTTTTTTTTAAAGATTTATTGTCACTGTATCTAATAATTTATTTTTCAGGGGCCCCTCAAAGGTATTTATTATGGAGTAGTTCACTGTCACGAGACCCCAAATACCAAAATTGGAAATTTTTACTTTCTTAAGGTTAGGTTCTAATCCTATCAAAGGCACTCTTCCTTTTTACCCTTCCTTCTCTTTTTATTCACCGGCCACTCCATCCCACCAAATTTTTGGAGGTATGTACTTTTTAGCCGCTCCCTAATCAATAAAATATACCTTATCGTTTTCAATTTAGATGAGCTAGTTTGACTGGTGACGGAATTTAAGGAAAAAAAAAGAAACTTTTGAAAATTTGTGGTTTTAAAAGCTTAAGCAGTAAAAGTTTTGTGGGGTCATGACATTTGTGTGGTTATAAAGGCTTCTCATTAAGGATAAAATGGTAAAATAAAGAGTTTAAAGTTGAATTATTTTCAAATTTAGAAATGTGTCATTTATTTTTGAACAGATTAAAAAGAAATACCTCATCTAATTTAAAACGGAGGGAATAGTATACTTATTATATATATATATATATATATATATATATATTTATATACTTTTTGACTAGCGAATGGAATTAATTTCAATCAATCGACCAGTTTTGTACTTTGCAAATTATAAAAATAGCAACCAAAATTCTTTTTCCTTTTTTTTTTTGGTTTATCTAGTTGGATTTGGAATATATTGGAGTAGCATATGATTCATTAAAGTAGAAAAGGCTTTTTCCATTCATAAGTTCAAACTTAAAACATCGACCTAAGGGTAAAAAATGCATTCCATCACATTCTTTGGTTGTCAAAAAGAATTTCACCATTTTATTTCCTTCTTTCACGGAAAGAATAACGAGATTTAGAGTAAGAAGATAATGTATGTAATTTTTAGTGATTTTTCCTTTGTATTTTAAATTACTTTTTTTAGATAAAATTTAGGACATAATTAGAACTGAAAAAGTACTGTCACTTAGACGTGTCTAGCATAATGGTGGGATCTCCCAAATTGGGATGGGTAATTCCACCGTTTTAGTTTTAGTGTAAAATTTATCTCGAGATTAGTTAATATTTATAATCAGACATGGAATAAATACGATCCTAAATTCTATCTCGAAATTATTATTCTTATCCCTTATATCATGTGACCGCTTACAACTTTCAAAAGGCTAAAGTATTTCATTTGAAAACACTATAGTCAAAGAAAAAGGTATATACTTCTTAAAGAGTAATGCTAGTATTATTTTTGGTACAAAGGTGAGAAAGCTGCACAATAATATGGTGAAAGTATTAAGCACAATGCTATCCCTACAAGATTGCTCTAAATTATCGAAGCATCCTTATCTGCAATTGTTTGGGGCTGGGCTCTAGTTTCCTCTAATTTAAGGAAGTCTTATAGAAACTTCTTAGTACTTTGACAACTGGAATCAAGACCCCAAGAAAATGGATTCATTCAAAAATTGCCAGATTTATAAGTGGTAATCGAAAATCAGCCACAATTTCAAAAGTAATCGAAATTTAGCCACTTTTCATATAAAGATAAATATGAACAAAAATACTGTTTAAAATCCGGAAAATATTCCAGCATAATTTACTGGACTTCCAGCATAATATACGGAGTTTCAGTATAATATACTGGAGTTCCAGCATAATATACTGGAGTTACAACATATTATACTGGACTTTCAGCATAATATGCTGGAAGTTTCATACGCAAGTGCTCCAATCTCCAGTATATTATGTTGGAACTTTCCGTGTGTTGGAGTTCCAGCATATTATACAGGTGCACCAATCTCCAGTGTATTATGCTGGAACTTTCCGTATTGCAGCAAAATAGTGGCTATTTTTCAATGACTTTGCAAATGGTGGCTATTTTTTCAATTACCTGTCCGAAAATCGGCTAGCTCGTGCTAATTTCACGCAAGAAAATGATAATTTGAAAGAAAAAAGTTAGTCGCCTCTACTATTAGATAATGTACAGATCTAGTAAAATGATAATGATTAGAAATATGACAGTAATGCGCAGAGGTCAAGTAGTGTGTTTGGAAATAAGAGACACAATGAAGATGAGCCACGGCCCACGGCTGGACGCTGGTTATTACTTCAACCATTAACCCAAATCTTGTGCTAAACAACATTTTTTGGTTTAATTATTCGATATTCAAAATTCATTAACCTTAGTAATTTGAATGTCTCGACTGGTTGCGGATTTGCCCGCTTATATTTTATGTTCTTGAGTTATTTTCACATAGATTGATTAGCTTTTTGTATTAAATTAGGCTCAAGTTTGTTTTCTCTTAGCATGTGTTAGCGTCAAGCATCCCATTCTTGATTTATCCAATGTTATTCACGCTCTAATTGGCAAGACGGGAGACTAGAGTCTCATATTCGTCGAGTATGAGCTGAGCAAGCTTTGATAAATTCTCATCGTATAAGCTAGCTTAGGTCCGTGCTGAATAGACCTACTAAAGGGTTAAAATGCCTTCAAAACGCTCCTGACTGAAAAATTCATATTAATCATAGTGGGACCAAACTCCTCTTTTTCTTGATTCTTGTTCCACTCAAAAGTTATTACACACCTTATGAGTATAAAACATTATAAATAAATCACGGGAAAATCATAGCAAACCGTAATAATCCGTTGGACCAAATGAAGGAAATGAAAATAAGTACTCAGTATTAGGGGGAGAAACATTAGAAGCCTTTATTGATAATATTGGTTTGGTCTGCCTCTCCATGAAGAGGTTCAGAGCCTTACAATGGTGTTCCTCTTGCCCCTAATTTGGGTATCATTCCCTTTTTTCTCTCTCCATGGTGGTCAAGAAGCAGCCCCCTCCCCCCCTTTTTAGGGTTTCCTCTCTTGGTATTTATAGCTGTGAGCTTCGTGAGCTGGCAATAAGTAGCCGTGACCACGTTGGGATTTTGCCTTCATGGTGGCGAATAGGCCATGGCCTTGCTGATCGAATCAGATGCGGGTTGAATATCGTTAATTCTGAGTGGTCGTGCCACTAATTAATCATGAATTAGCTTAAAACGGGATTAGCTTCGTTAATTATCGTGGGGTCGGATTCTGACCCATACAGTTAGTCCCTCCGTTTATTGAGGTCGGGCCTCGGCCGAGCTCGATGAGTGGATTTCATTCACTGTAGTTTGAGAAACTCGGATGGGGAGGTCGACTGTTGCTTCGGTCGAGGCCGAATTCTCTTTGGCGATGACCCTTAGCCTTGTAGAGTATTAATATCCTGTTATTGTGCTATCAAGTCATCGTTCGATCGAGGTCGGACTTTCCTCCTGGGCGAATGCGCTTGAACTTTTAACTTACTTCGAGTGAGGTCGAGCTTCATTGTGCTCTGATCCTTACGTTTGTTTTGGGTGCATACCCGTCGACCATGGCGGACGGGTCGTATGTTGTGCGGCCGAGGGGAGTGAGGGCACGCTTGATACGTGCTTGGCGATGTCAAAAAATTTCTAGGGCGCAAGGAGCATCTCCTCGGCATTCATAGGTCGTTATAACCATTTCGAGGGCGAGACGCCGATGGGTGATTGCAAGGCTGCTTTATGGAGCCTGTCATAATGGCGCACATCCCCATGGAATCGAACCGGTGTGCGGTTGGTCATGTAGTTAATGGTGGCTATTGGGGTGCATGAAGGCCACTTGCGTTGCCTATAAATAGAGGCTGAGGCATTCATTTTTCATATTCTCATTGTTTGTCTGAGAGAGATTCTGAATAAGCTTTTCTTACTGCTGTTTCACCTTCGTCTTCGTCCCCCAAACTTTGTTTCTTTCTTGTTATTGTATCAACAATGGCAGGCATTTCTTCCCAAAACGTTCTTCCGACGGATCTTCCGGTTAACTCACCGGTGACCGAGGGGCCATTTCCGGCAATGGGCGGTGCAGAACTGGTGGAGACTGGTGAAGCTCCGTCGGTTGACGAGGTAGTACCTCTACCCGGAGTTCCGATGACTGATTTCACCGCCGATGGTGGGGAGGATCAGGTGGATGAAGCCCCATTAATGGGGGAGATTGGGATGTCCCGACTACGGGGACAGGGGGTCATCCTCGGCTATGCTGACGTCATTCTCGCCAGAAGCGAGGAGAGGGTCCACACCGACCGTAGGGGGATACTGCGTCTTTTATGCCTACCCCG